CATCCCAGGACCCTGTCCATGTCCTCGGGAGCCACAGGATCGAACTCCCCCCAGATAACACTCTCAAGACCTGCCTCAGTCATCCCATCTGGACATACCCAGTCAGAGGCCAGCCCTTCCCGAATCTGAGCGATTTTGTCATACAGATACTGCACAAAATCCTCAGCTCGACCCTGCAAGGGGTCATCCCGCACTTCCAGATGGAGGAGGGAGCGGGTCACCCTAAACAGGGCGGCCGGGCGATTATCTGATGACGCGATAAGAGCGGCAAAATAATTAGTTTTCGCCGCTTTTATCGCCACTAGGTAGGTCTTAATATGAGACCTCACCAGTGTTCGGTCAGGTTCGGAGCGGCTGGTCCTCCAACTACTCTCCAGGCGTCTTTTCTGGCGCTTCATCTCCCTAAGCTCCTCGGAAAACCAAGGAGCTAGGTGAGTTCGGTGCCGGGTCAGAGGCCGCAAAGGCACGACTCGGTCCAAGGCCCCGGCAGCCGCACTATCCCAGGCGGCCACCAGGTCTTCGGACGAGTCATGAGCCAGAATCTCAGGAAATGGCCCAAGCTCCATCTGGAACCTATCAGGGTCCATCAGGCGCCTGGGGCGGAACCACCTGGTCGGTCCCGCCTCCCTGCGGCAGGGTGCAGCGGTTAGAAAGTCCAGTCGAAGGAGCGAGTGGTCAGACCATGACAAGGGTTCGATGGCTATATCCCCTATATCAAGGCCACTCAACCACTGACCAGAGACAAAAACTAAGTCCAGAGTGTGTCCTCCTGTGTGAGTGGGGTCATGAATTAACTGAGTAAGGTCCATGGCCGTCATGGAAGCCATGAACTCTCGAGCCACCTCAGACGTTTCACCGATAGATGGCAGGTTGAAATCCCCCATGATGGCAAGTCTGGGGGTGCCCACCGCCACCTCGGCTATAACGTTAAGGAGCTCGGGCAGGGCCGTTGCCACGTGGCAGGGAGCCAGGTACGTGACCAACAGGCCCATCTGTACTCCACGACCCCACTTCACAAAGAGGGACTCACATCCGGCTATCTGTGGAACAGTGGTCTCCCTTGGATCCAGACCTTCCTTTATAATAACTGCCACCCCCCCGCCCCTGCCCTGAGCCCTCGGCTGATGAAATGCACGGAAGCCTGGTGGGCATATATCCACGAGGGGGACTCCCCCCTCCTGGCCCAACCAGGTCTCCGTAATGCCCGCCAGGTCCGCCTCCCCCTCCTGAATAAGATTGTGGATGAGGGGGGCTTTATTAACAACGGACCTGGCGTTGCACAACATCAGCCGGAGGCTCTGGCCCTGAGAATCTGAACAACCTGGGGAACAAGAAAGGCATTGGGGACCGGAATGCGCAATCGCTCTAAGATAGCGAGTGCGCATTCCCCGCACATGATATGGTCCCCAGCTTCCGCCATATCTGCCCCTCCCACTCACTGTGCTGATGGAACAGCCCTCTTCAAATCGAACTCCAACCCCCTCCCCGACCTCCGGTTCTACGTCCCTAATGTCGCAGCCCTTCGCTAAGGCTGGTCTTGAACCCGGTGGATTTCCCCCAGAACCCACCCTAATCCCCCCCGAACCCCTTAAAATTTTTGTTAAAAACTCACTAAAAAACCCACTTAAAAAACCCCTCAAACTCTTCTTAGCCGCATGCCATCTCTCGGGGCTCCAACGCCCGTCATCAAGATAGGCCCTCGATAACGAAGAGGGCCAGACCTGCGAGAGGGGGGAGTCTCGCAGGGCACGAAGGTCATTCACCGAGTACATCAAAGATCAAAGGGAGGTGATAGTCCATGGCCAATAACCAGGGGCCAATTTGATGTTATCACAGTCAGAAGGAGTGCAATGCAAGGCTTCAATAGAGTTCCAATGGAGCATGTGAGACCTCAGTGCCCTCTCACGGCAATGGCGGGAGTAAAATGCTGTTTCGGTCCGGCAGAGGGTGACCCAGCCCTCCTCTCACGGGGGCTGGTCAACCACGATCGTCCAAAAAGCCGGAGTTGAGACAGCAGCTATAGACCCACTCCACCAAGACTTGAATCCCCAGATGTAAACCTCCATTCAACGGAGGGGAAGAATGGGGTCAGGTCAGTCCACATAGTCCAGACAGGCTCAGACAGCGGAGATCATAACCGTCATTACCTCCGGGGAGGTCAAGATGGCATCTAGACCCGGAGATGATTGTTCAGCAGGCATACACGGCATGGCATCACCACATTCAGGGGGATGGGGGTGAAAAAGGAGAGCAGAGGCAACAAATGCCATAGGGGGGAAAACCCCTCAGTCATAGTCCAGCTCTCCCCAACCCCTCCCGGATCTTCCTTGGGACCATGCTGCTTGCCTCGTCCAGCCTCGCCCAGCCTCCATAAATCCTCATGGAGGCCTCTGGGACGACCAAGGGGCCAAATAACGCCCCACGGTCGCCCAGGAGATCCAACAAAGCAAGCCAGCAACTGCCAACCTCTCCGACGCTCCCACGCTCCAAACTGTGGCAGCTTCTTCCCTGACCCGGCAGCCGCCATTTCCACGCCGCCAGCACCACCGTCGCTGCCGCTGCCAGCCTCCCCGCCCTCACCTCGCCCCCCCCCTCCGCCCCTAGTACATGTCCAGGGCAGATTGGGCTGGCGAGGATCCCGGCGAGGGTGCTGTACCGCCGCCACCGCCGCGGCGCTGACGCCGTCATCCTGGCCCTGCTACCTTCGCCAGGAGAGTCTGCTGCCGCCCCTCCTCCTTCGGGCCGCTCTCGCCGTCCTACGGTCTCCGCGAGCCTCAAGGACACTCACAGAAGCCGGAGACCCCTCAACGGAGAGCCCCAACACTCCTCCAGCTGGGCCAGGGCTGCAACGATCGAAATTCAGCCCTCCAAAGGCCCCCTGGAGCCATAATCGCCCCCCAGGATTACCGGGATCACAGGCAAGTCGCCATCTTGCGCATGCGCAGAAGAGAGAAATCTATATAGAAATCTATATAGTTTATAACTATATCCCCTTATTGCAGAAAACTAATCAAGACCTCGATAGGTGGAGGAGGCTTAAATTGTCCCTGACTGGTAAAATTGCGGCGATCAAAATGAATATTTTACCGAAATTTCTATTTCTATTTCAAAATATACTGATATCACTAGATAAAAAATTTTTTTGGGATTTGAATAAACATATCAGGAATTTTTTGTGGGAGGGCAAGAAATCGAGGATTTCTCTCAAGACACTTCAAGGGAAAAGAAATTTGGGTGGGTTCGGGCTCCCTGACTGGGAATTATACCAAAAAGTGGCAAAAATAATTTGGATAAAGGAGTGGGTCAAATTACAAGAAGGTAGAATTTTGACACTAGAAGGACACGATCTCCTTGAAGAATGGCACGCTTACCTCTGGGATACAAAGGATAGGAGGAAAACTCATTTCTATAAACATAAAATTAGAGAGACATTGATTCGTACGTGGCTGGAAATTAGACAGAAGATATATACCAAGGTTCCTAGCTGGCTGTCGATTATGGATGCTCTAGTGGCCCCAAATAGAAGAGGGAACTATAAAATGGGCACATATAAGGATATCTTGGATGAAGAAGGGAAGCTCAAACCCTTGAAAGTATTGAGGGACCAGGGGTTTATTCTGGATTGGTGGAAATATCTCCAGATTAAGTCTAGATTTCAAGAAGATAGAGATAAATGTGGTATTGAAATGAAATATGGATATTTTGACAAAATTATTTGGGGACCAGATAAGAAAATGTTATCGAAAATCTATAACTTTATATTAGATGAGGATAGAGCCGAAACGATAGCTAAAAATCAGCTAAGCACTTGGGAGAAAAACTTAGGATATGGCCTTAATTTCAATGACTGGGAGATAGCTTGGAACAGAAATTTCAAAATAACGAAATCGGTAACATTCAGGGAAAATCACTACAAAATGTTGCATAGGTGGTACCTAGCCCCGGACAGGCTGGCCAAAATATTTCCAAATTCCTCTGCTTTATGCTGGAAATGTGGAAAGACGGTCGGCACCTTTTATCATCTGTGGTGGACTTGCCAAGAGACCAAAAAGTTTTGGTTAAAGATTCGACTCTGGCTCTCGGAAATAATGGGACAGGAGATAGCCCTGGCCCCGGAATCCTTCCTCTTAGGTATGATTGAAGATGGTCTCGACAACAATAAAACCCAACTGGCAATTCAAATTATTACTGCGGCTAGATTAGCCTTTGCGAAACTCTGGAAATCCAACTCTACCCCCTCTGAAGAAATATTAATAAATAAAATTCTAGAGTGCGCAGAGATGGCTAAATTGACGAGCGAGCTAAAAAATGAAGAGAACTCTAAGTACTACGAAGTATGGGGAATGTGGTATAACTGGTTAAAGAATACGATAAAAATATGATAATAGGTTATGATTTGTTAGACACCCGAAATGGACTTAATTGTATAGAAATGTAGAGAATTGTATAGAACTGTATATTGTATAGTTATGGATGGAATTCATCTAATGTTTGATCTATGAAATGTGTAAACACTGCACCTCGGATCAAGATTGTGATTGTACATTGTCTTTTTAAAAAATTGGAAAATTCAATAAAGTATTTTAAAAAAAAAAAAACAAGATAAACTTCTGAATACTTGATAGCAAGGCAAAATCTATTGAAATCAATGAGAGTTGCTGCCCTAGATGGTTTTATATTTTGATTAAACCCTCTAGAGGAGTCGGGTCATTGATTTTGCAAGGAAGAAATCTAGCATTATAGTTATTTCCGGGAAAGATTTCTCTGGATTTCAATTCCTAAATAGATTATATAATCCTTGTTTTCGAACATGTTGAACCTTACAACATTATTTTTTTTAACCAATGTTCTGTTAAAGGTTTTGGAGTTTCTTCAAGGTAAAGAACTGATAACTGTTATGATGTTGGTCATTTGAGGCAACTAACGAGCCTAGCAATTATTAACTTTAGCTCAGGCTCTCCTTTCCCCCCCCCCTTTCACTTTGTTCCACATTGAATTCTACTTTGCAGAATGTAGCAGCCTCTTCTTCTGCCAAGATGTTCAGAATGAAGAGATTTATGCAGAGGTTCTGGATTCTTCTGCATGTATGCCTGTCTACTATCATTGGTAAAATCTGCATGTTCTTTTTCCCAGGTACTGTGAAGAGCTATCTCCTGAAGCAGAGAGAAAAGAGTGGCATGGGAGACAACCCAAAATTCTTCTATGAAAATTGGGGTCCAACTTTCTTCAGCTTCTCTTACTTACTCTTTGTCTTGAAAGTCAAATGGAAAAGGCTGGAAGATGAAGCCTTTCAGGGCTGTCCTGCTCCTAACACCCCCATAGCAAATCTCAGTGGGAAAATGCATCACATTCTGGATTTCATGCAAGGTAAGTAAACACCAGGATAATGTTTTAATTATTTAATGTTTAAATGTGGCATTTGCTAATATCATAAGTGAAACAAAATTTCATTTTAAAATCAGGGTACTAATTGATTAAACAGACAGAATTTATTTTTTTCATGCAGTTGGAATTGACATAAAACATATTAAAATAATTGGGGAAAATGTTAAGGTGGCATTAGAATTGTTGAGTTGAGTAGTTTAATTCTGACATATTAACAGGAAATAATTTAACTTTATATATGCATGATTGACGCAGGCAAAATGACTCTCATAAGTAACATATGCTATTGCATACACTATACATAAAATTACATATTGCATACGAATATACAAGATTATGCATATGCATGTATTACTGGGTCCAAGGATACACACATTCAAATACATGCGTGCAATCTTGCCTCAGATTTTTTTTCTTAAAAACTATAACAAATGCCTTCACAGAAAAGAAACAGAGCATGATAAAGCTTGAACTAATCCAAATACATATTGCAGCACAAACACAAACTGCACTTTGCCTCTCTCTTAACATATTCATAAGTTATTGGCTTCTACTTCATAGTAACTAATTAACTGCACTGTTTTGGAAATTAAGATAAAACTCAACTTCTATACAAGTAGCATTGTACACTTATTCTGCATATTCAAATAGTTGCCACAGGTAATTAAATCAAAATATTTTAGAGAAAAAAAATACATTTGGTAGGAAATTGATAATGGGTGATAATTTTATAGTTTTATGTTTTGGCTTAATTGTAATGTGAAGCAAGCTACTAAGGTTTCTTCAACAAATCCTGCCTTAGTTTTATTGTGAACACACTCATGGTTCTCATCACTTAGATCAAGAGACATTGTACAGATACTCAAATAAAAATCAGAACATTATAATATAGAATTCTACTGCAAGTACAAACATAAGTTAAAAACCAAAAATAGCTAACCATATCATAAAATTCCTTCAAACAGAGACAATGTTGAAGAGATCATTTTAATTAGAGGATTTTTATTGGTGATGCCAATAAGGTTCTAAAACTTTGATCTGCATGCAATTATTGTTGGGTTTAGAAAAAATGGAAAAGGGACATTTTAAAATGAAATACATGCTGCCAAATACATGCAACATTCCTGCTGAATACATGCAACATTTTTATATAATATGCAGATTTATTATTTATTATTTGGGCTTGTATGCCGCCCTCTCTCCAAAGGACTCAGAGCGGCTCACAACAATAAATACACAAATTCAATTATAAAATATAACAAATATAAGAACCCGTTAAAGTCACATTTAAAACCCCTTCAATCCAATCCGGCCAGGCCAAATAACCATGTTTTAAGATGACGGCGGAAGGAGCAAAGGTCAGGAGCCACCCAGAGCTCCAGGGGGAGCTGATTTCAAAGAGTAGGCGCGCCCACAGAGAAGGCTCCCTGGGAGTCACCAGTCGACACTCTCTGGCCGACGGGACCCCAAGGAGGCTCTCTCTGTGAAAACACACCGGGCGATGGGGAGCTGTCACTGGCCGCAGATGGTCCACCAGGCATCCTGGGCCTAAGCCATGTAGGGATTTATAGGTAATTACTAGCACCTTGCTGATCACCTGCTGATCATAATCAGCAGATGCTGGTTATGAAAACAAAATATGTTGTTCTTTATCCCATACTGCTTATTGAGAATTAGAATTGTACCATCATAAAATATTCTTGGCAAAATTATTCACGTGATATTAGCAGGGTCTTAATAAAGGTTTCATGTGTTGGAATTAATACATGGAGGCTCTAGTCCAATGTTTCTCAACCTTTAAGATGTGTTGGTTTTAAGTTCCAGAATTCCCCAGCTAGACTAGGAACTTGTTCAAAATGGTACCAATAAAAGTCTATTAAACCATATTGCCTTTTCAAATCTCTCAAATGTTGTATTAAGCAGCCACTAAATGTTAGGTGTCTCAAATACACAAGAATGTGACCAAATTCTTAAAATTACTATATATGTAGCATTTAAATTGCAAATAACTCCCTGAATAAATATGAGAACTATAACAATCCTTATTCTTGTCTTTATCCTTCAAGACTGATCTGTGTTTTCTTGCAGGTAACAGGCCTTTGGTTCTAGCATTTGGAAGTTGTACCTGACCTTCATTCATATTCAGATTTGGCGAGTTTAATAAACTTGTTGAAGATTTCAAATCTGTAGCAGACTTTCTTGTAATCTACATTGAAGAAGCTCATGCCTCAGGTAAGGCAAGCATGCTAAAAATCTAGTCATTAGATTGTAAATGATTGTATTCCAGGTTACCAATCTGGATGCATTTCTTCTTAAATATAAACCATACAGCTTAATGGATCAGGTTTAACATTATGTGACAGAGGAAGCTAATTTAACTTGGAAAACAATTAGTGTATCAAATATAATCTCCAAAAACAATAAATATTTGATTGTCTAAGTCAAATGTAATTTAAGAAAGGTTGCTGTTGAGAACCAACAGCTAAGAGGCAGCATCCTCACTGCTTTCTCTGACACCTAACAACATTTTATCTGCATGAATAGAAGCAAAAATTCATAGTATCAAAGCCATACTTTCACTGTGGTTTTTTTATCTGCCAGCAGTCTCTGGAAGATGATAAGACAATTGTAGAGTCATTTAGGTATAGGCATGATAATAGCCCATGAGACTGAACAGGTTTCATGGTTTTGTACTTCTGGAAGAAAAATAGGAATACAAGTGGAGTTGTTACAGTACAAAAATCAAGAAGCTCTGGGCTATTACATATTCCACTTCTATTACTAAATGTGAGGATGAATATATCCAGTATTGATAGTCTAATTCTTGTTAGGATTATTCTTTATTTTAGATGGATTTAGATGAAGTATTCTTTATTTTAGATGGATGGGCCTTTAAGAACAATATTGTCATTAAAAGTCACCGAACCCTCCAAGATCGTATAACGGCTGCACAGAAGCTCCTAAAACAGCAACCCCTATGTCCAGTGGTTCTAGACACAATGGAAAACCTGAGCACAAACAAATATGCGGCTCTGCCAGAGAGACTGTATGTGCTTCAAAAGGGAAAAGTTGTGTATAAGGTAAAAAAGAAAAGTTATTACGTATTTATGTGAGGTGCAAGTTTGCAAAGCTAAACATGTACTTGAAACCTTGTGGGAGACATGACTTAACTTGGGGGAGACTGCTATCTAGAGTTCTTTTTTCTAAAACAGGTAAACTATTTTAAATATGCATTATATTAATATTATGCATATTTTCATGTAACATCTTTGCTGTTAATTTTCCATAATTGAAAGAAAATAGTGGCATCCAATTCAATGTGAAAATGTAATCTTGTCTACCTAATTCTGAAATAATTGCCATCCTATTAATACTGCCACATGCTCATATTCTTACACCATATGCTTTCATGAAAAGCCTAATCTTTTAATCTCTTTTATAATTATTAATCTCTTTATATTACTTTACATCCCTTGCCTATACTTTATATTCCTGTCCTTAGAAATTAGTCACCGATTTTTTTTCCTTTTACAGGGTAGACCAGGACCTTGGAATTATTGTCCACAAGAAGTACGTGAATTTTTGGAACAACTTTACCTGTAAAAGAACACCTCAAAGTAACCTGTTTCTGAGAAGCACATACACTCCATTGCCTGATTACATTTTTAAAAGTATTTTTATTTATAAAGGGCTGTATTTATTTGGAAAGATAACGGTGAAAACCTTACATCATTAATATTCAGCAGTCATTAACTCAATTAAACAATAACATAAGATCTATTTATTATATTTACCCTAGATTACCTGCCAATGCTAATCTCCATTCTTGTAATTGCCAGTGGTAGATGCACAAACTGCTTTACACATTTGAAAAATATCTTTGTGGTGAATTTTCTAATGAAGCAATTGAAATAGGATAACATGATGGATTGCTTTATATATAACAGTCTCTAGATAGTAAACAGAGCAGTGATCTCTTCTTTAGTGACAGGAGTGCAGCAGTGTACATTTCTCAATTATGTTTCTTCTATAAGAACTGTATCTGGAATTGTTAAGTCTATGGATCTGAACAGAAGCAGTCTTTGTATAGGATCAAATTTCTGGAGAACATTGCTGCAGAAGCAGCTGACACTTGTAACAGACAAACATGCATTATTGTTGTCACGAAACACCTAGCATGTGCAGATGCATTGGATCCTTTGAACCCAAACCACTTAAGGACAGAAGCACCATCACATCCAGTTTTAAAGGTGTTTGCAGAGAAGAACTTTCTGAATGGAATCATTGTAATAATTTTCTTACTTTTGTTTCTATTAATATTTGTTTATGATAGTCATAGTTTAAAACGTAGAGAACTATGACCTGATACGGAAAAATATTTATAGAAACAAGATGCAATGTTAAACTTGGTCCAAAAATCTTCGTCCAGCATGAATTTGTTTCCTTTAAATATGGTATTATCTTATAATATAGATAAAATGATGGAATGAAACGTGGTGGTCTAAAAGGAAAGATTGCCCCAGACTAAATTAACTCTTTTTCTTATCAATTAAGATAAATTGAAGATATTGGGCAACATAACAGAGGGTTTGATGAATTCTTGTTTATTACGCTATTTCATCTATAATATACTGTACATCATCATATAAATATTATCAATTTAAATAATGCTCATTGTTGAAATTTTTTAACAAATTTCCATTGAAAAGATTAAACACCAGCTGCAGTTAGTGTACTTAAAGAATCATTAATGCCTGCTACATTTTTAAAAAGGCTTAATGTTTAATGTGTTATAATCTGAATACTGAATTTAACTTTTGTGCGATAGTCCTTCTGCTATTACCCTATGAACTGACACAAAAGCATCAGAAGCAGATAAAATGATGATTCGAAGATATGTAGCTTGGATCTCAGGAAACTATCAAAGAGAAAAAAAATAAACAGCAATAAACTAGATATGAAATACAGCATTTTAAAATACCATTAATTCCCTTAGGAAAGTTTAAGTGAATAAGTGAATAAACATATTCATTGCATTTAAACATTTGCTGTTAAATGTTGAAAATGGAATATATGAAGTACTACATTACTGTGGCTTTATAAAATATTACTATATTCTGATTTCCCAGCCATGATTTGCTGGCAGATGTTTTTGATTCTTTAAAAGTTTGTTAGGAACAGAATGTCGCTACATTATTACCATTTTGCTTGGCGTTTATCTGTAGAAAATGGTCAACCTTAGAGAATGAATAACTACATATCTTGAAGTTAAATATTTGTATGTAATTGCAAGTACACTTCCCTATTTACACACAAAACTAAAATTGCAATAACATCCAAAATGCTATGTTGTCAATATTCATGAATGTATCTTAACAGTTCTAAACATAATACAATACAGAGCCTACAATATTTTTTTAAAAAGCATGTAACCAACAGTTCCACTAGCACAGTGGAACTTGCTTCTCAGTAAATATGCTTAGATGTGCAACATGTAAATAAGTAACTAATTAATGTGAGCAAACTTTTAAAAACATTTCTCAATATTCGCTAGCATTAACTCAGTAATTTCAGATATGTGGGATTGGCTGCCATTTGTGTATTTTAGTTTTTCACACAGATCATGCGATAATAATTTTTAAAAATCCCTCAAGATGAGCTCAGCTCCTGTTAACAACAGGAATACATAATTTTATTTCCAGCAATATGGAAGTGCTATTTGCTATTCTCTCCATTTCTTCATTTTTAAGTTACCTGACCAATGTATGGTCCTTATATTTCTTGGAATTCTCCCATCTAAGAACTAACCAGGTTTAACCATGTTTAGGATTATCCAGAGTTGCTTAAGTGTTGCCAATTGATAATGGGTTTATATCACAGTGTAAACATAAAAATATTCTTCAGATTTTTCTGAAACTCTTCTTCAGATTACAATGTAAATCTAATAAATATTTTCAAACTTCTATTTTTTTTTAAAAAAAAATGCAATCATTTACTTAAGTTAAAAACTGATTATCTTTTATATTGTGTTAATTCTAAATGAAAGATACTTACAGAAAAATCTTCTGTTTGTAGTTCCCCATCTTTACATTGCAGCTCTGAAAATAAAAATTGTATAATTTAACTGTAGAAAATAATTAAAATATAAATATAAAATATAAATCTTACATGTTTACTGGAACTAGTACTTAAACCAGTTAAAAAATTCAAAAGTCAACTAATCTCTAATAATTAACCCTTATCTTGAAAATGCAGGGTATTTTTTCTGATAAGTATCTCCTCCATCTAGTATTAAAATATCTTCTAATGTTAGTGGGGTTAAGCCAATGGGTAAAAATATTCATGTTAACCAAGAAAATTATTCATATTTTGGATAGTATCTGAATTAACTCCAACTCCCAAAGGAGGTGAAGTTGAACACTAAAACAGGATATGGGGTACAGTATGAAAGATGATCCTTAAACATTTTGAATGCGCAAATTTCCAATTTTGAGTTATCATAAGGTCCAAGTTACATACTATTCACAAGCTACTGTAAGAACAGCTGTTGGCAGAAAATAGTTTTAAGGCATTAGGCATTCCTTCATCAAAACATTTTCCAATTGTTGAAGCTGATTTTTGAGATTTCTAGACTACATAATCCAGATTAGCACATCTCCTATTGTAGATCAAAAAAACTTTTCCAAGGTATTTAAAGACGTTGACCTATTTGATTTGATGGCCATTTAAATTGCTACTTTTGAATTCTAATACGTTTAGCAAATATCAATATTTTTGCCTTTACGCAGTCTCTACAGTGCATAGTTGATGGTTTTAGGGCATGTTTTAATCCAATGAAAGTCTGAGATAAAACTACATATTTGGCTTATTGAAACATATGAGCTACTGTTGTGGGGAGAAAATCAGGGTATTCAGATAGATGGTCAGAGTTTATGTAAAAAGTAAGGAACAGTGATACCAACATACAATCCTATCTATCTTCCCAAACCAAGGTAATTGCTTTAGTTGTGTAATTTTGTGAAGTAAATTAGATTTTTAGACAAGCTTTTTCATGAAGCTCAAGCAGCAATAATAATAGACATCTAACTATAATGGAATTGATGAACTTATCTGATTTCTTAGGCCTAGATATCGAGTAGAAGGCAAACTTAAAATCAACAGAAGCAGCATATGGGCAAATCCTACTTTAGCCATATACTTTTCTACCAGGTACTGTAAAATAAAGGCAAGATCAAGGGATGTTGGGTCTAACATCAGCCTGTTTCTCTGCACTTGTTCTACTTCCAGCCAATCCACTATTTTTGTATTTAATGCTTAGTAGATTATTAGATTGATAGTATGTCCCATTCTTTTTATAAAAGGGTCTATTACTGCTGTACCCGTCGTTTGAAATCATTGTAGAGTAATCAGTGAAAAAGAAGGGGGTGACTAAAACTGGGATTCACCATTCTAAATTGTTACATATGCATTTTGCCATTAAGTAATCATTACCTGGTGAGTTTCTTGGTTTAAATTGGTTAACCCACTTTTTAATTTCTAAGCACATTAACTGTCAGCCAGTGAAGAAGTAAGTCAGCATTCATGTCTTGATGTATGTATGTATCTCAGAATCATAGTCACATCATTGTAGAATTGGAAGGGACCACAAGAGTCATCTAGTCCAACTCTCTGCAATGTGCAGGAAAAGCAATTAAACCATTCATGAGAGAAGGCTGTGCAGCCTCCATTTAAAAACCTCAGAGGTAGAGATACCATAGCCCTTATTGGTATATTATTCTACTACTGTGTCTATGTCTGTCTGTCTAACTTTCTACCTATTTAATAATGGTATATATAATGAAAAAGAGAAATAGTGTTTAAAATATCACCCACTGTTGTGGACTATTCTTCCCCAACAAGGTGGAGAAGAATTCGGGACGCTGACTTTTACCTATATTCAAATGTCAAAGAAAAGGTTCAAGTCAGAGCATACCTGAAATTGATAATCGGATAATGCATTACAAAGAATCAACTACTGTTTGCTAAGTGCAACAATAACAACAATTGTAAAATATTTTGAAATAGCCTTTGGTTCTGCAGATTACAAAGCTAATACTGAAATTTAAAAAAAATACAATATCTCCTTGGAACTTTTAATGGTATACTATTAGTCTAATGTTATAGAAAAATTGAGATCAACAGAATTTCTTTTAAATAACCATAGCCCTCAGACTTGATTGAATTCAGTAGATTATGATCATTCACTGAATCATAACGATATTAAGTGTAATTACCTCTTTCAATGCATTTTTCAAAATCAACTGGATCTTTAGATACACTTTTTTCAATGCGTAATCTCTTCACTAAGGAAAATATTTTTAAAAAATTTGTTAATTGTAAGAATACTAGTTCCACCCATATTTCAAAATTATTAATAAAATAATTCTTCGCTTTTACACAAGGGCACTTGTAAGACTAATTTCATTTTTACAATTCACCAAAGAAAATTATAAAGAACCATTAAAATACAGTAGAAAGCTAGGCTACGTCAAATGTGAGGAGCATGAGAAATATGTGATCAATATATTCCCCTCCACGTACAAAAATAATTTGCTATGGACATCTTTTGCAGATGGAGGATTGAGATATATAAAGAGGAGGACAATGCTATAAAATATTGGGACCATGATAATCTGGGTTTGGAAAGGGTTTTTCCTTTAACTGTGTTCACTTTTTAGGGCATAAAGCAGTTTTAGGCAATTTTTCTCTCAAAACGTTGGGAAACTGGCCACAATATTCAGAAACATGCAATCAAATGGATTCTAGGGATCACCCAAATGAAAGAAAATCACACACATTTCTTATCTCCCACATACGGTAGCTGTATAGACTTACAGAACCATGCATACCACAAACTAGAGTTTCCTTTGAAATGACTGTTCAGTATTAAAAGCGCTGACAAAACTCATAATTTGTTGAATAGCGTATATTTGGTCTTAAAAGAGGTTGTCTGAATGCAGGGACAAGCACACAGCCTTTTTCCAGGGTGGATCTTATTTCCAAATACCAGATCTTAAACCCAGATAATTTCTTCATCCCCCTTTCCAAGAAACTTGTTAAATTCACAGAAGAGAAGATTTTTGTATGCCCTTGTTCAAGCAAAGAAATCTACCTCCAATACAAGTATGAAGGCCATTGCTTAACACATTGTAAGCCGCCCTGAGTCTCCGGAGAAGGGCGGCATATAAAAATAAATAAATAATAATAATAAAAAAGTCCTAGAAGTAACAGCAACAGTAACAGAGTTGGAAGGAACATAGGTCATCTAGTCCAACTCCCCTGCTCACGCAGGAACAGTATAGAAGGGATCTGAACTGCCAACCTGTAAGTTCTGTCAACTTACAATAGTTTAGTGACCGTTCAGTGCCGTTACAGCGGCACTGAAAAAAGTGACATGATAATTTCTCACACTTATGGCTGTTGCAGCATCCCCATGGTTATGTGTTCAAAATTCAGACACTTGGCAACTGACTCTTATTTAGGGTTGCAGAGTTCTGAGGTCAAATGACCACTTTTGTGACCTTCCGGCAAGCAAAGTCAAGGGGGAAGCCACATTCACTCAACAACCGTGTTACTAACTTAACAGCTGCACTGATTAACAACTGTGGTAAGAAAGGTTGTAAAATGGGGTAAAACTCACTTAACAAACATCTCATTTAGCAACAGAAATTTGGGGCTCAATTGTGATCATAAGTCAAGGACTACCTATAAGCTGATTTAATGATATTAGCATGTTTACCAAAAACTTGATGGGTTATTCTTGTTGCAAAGTCCCTATTACAGGATGGCTTCATATTAACCAGAAATTAAAGGTATCAGTCTTAGGATATAAGTATGGGGGAGTTCAAATGTATCATTTTATATTCAAAAATGTGTTTAGTTACAGTTGTATCAAAAAATAAATTACTTAGGAAAAAAACCCAAATACACCCATAAAGAATTAAAATTATAAAGAGAATAGCCTCTGCAACTCATATTAATAATAACTAATAATTTCTTATGAATATAGTATGTAAAAATATTATGAGCCATGGCCCAATTCTTCTAAAGTGGAAATGTCTATACAGTATTCCCAAGTATAAATGCCTGACTATTTTTCATTATATGAAGTATAGAACTATATTATGGAACAGTACATTATAAGAAGCATATAAAATTGCAGAAAAGACACGTAATTTGAAAACATAAACATATTATAACTTACCTAAGTAACACTGAATTGTCAGTTTGCTAATGGTCACACATTTATGAAAGGAAATAATAAATTCCTGAGGAAACATCCCAGTTGTGGTCCAAAAAGTTTCAGATCGCCTGTTAGGAACGAATAAAATGCAATTATACATCATAGGCTATGTATGAAACTATGGTTTCAACATAGTTAAACAAACCATGGCTTAACACAATATTCACTCATATGGGTGAAGCTACCCATATTTCTTAGCCTAGCCCTAGCGGCCTATTTCAAAATGTTGCTGTGGGGATAACCCAAGAAACAAAAAAATATACTTTCCTTTGAGCTTTCTGGGGAAAAGAAATATTATATTATTGCAAGCTACCACGGGCAGCCCCAAGGGGGAATAGACGGCAAATAAATTTAACAAATAAATAAACAGATAAATAATACTGTACATATAATGTAACAAAAAGATTTTTAAAATCTTGAATTCTTGTCACCATTGAGCCTTGGCCTTTTCTGAAGCCAGTGTTTTTCCACCTTGTTTTTCCATAGGCAATATTTTTTCTACCTTTCACTTTTCCACAGGCAATGTTTTTCCACCTTCCATTTTTCCACAGACAGTGTTTTTTCCACCTTCTACTTTTCCAGTGTTTTTTCCACCTTCTACTTTTCCACAGTGTTTTTTTTCACTTTCTACTTTTCCAGAGTGTTTTTTCCACTTTCTACTTTTCCACAGACAGTTTTTTTCCATCTACTTTTCTTTTCCAGTGTTTTTTCCACCTTCTACTTTTCCACAGGCAGTGTTTTTTCCACCTTCCACTTTTCCACAGACAGTATTCTTCCACCTTTTCTTTTCTACAGACAGTGTTTTTTCCACCTTCCACTTTTCCACAGGCAGTATTTTTTCCACCTTCTACTTTTCCACAGACAGTATTCTTCCACCTTTTCTTTTCTACAGTGTTTTTTCCACCTTCCACTTTTCCACAGGCAGTGTTTTATCCACCTTCTACTTTTCCACAGGCAGTGTTTTTTCCACCTTCTACTTTTCCACAGACAGTATTCTTCCACCTTTTCTTTTCTACAGACAGTGTTTTTTCCACCTTCCACTTTTCCACAGGCAGTGTTTTTTCCACCTTCTACTTTTCCACAGACAGTATTCTTCCACCTTTTCTTTTCTACAGTGTTTTTTTTTCCACCTTCCACTTTTCCACAGGCAGTGTTTTTTCCACCTTCTACTTTTCCACAGACAGTATTCTTCCACCTTTTCTTTTCTACAGTGTTTTTTAGACCTTCCACTTTTTCACAGGCAGTGTTTTTTCCACCTTCTATTTTTCCACAGACAGTATTCTTCCATCTTTTCTTTTCTACAGACAGTGTTTTTTCCACCTTCTATTTTTCCACAGGCAGTATTCTTCCACCTTTTCTTTTCTACAGACAGTGTTTTTTCCACCTTCCACTTTTCCACAGGCAGTGTTTTTTCCACCTTCTATTTTTCCACAGACAGTATTCTTCCACCTTTTCTTTTCTACAGACAGTGTTTTTTCCACCTTCCACTTTTCCACAGGCAGTGTTTTTTCCACCTTGACAAGTTTAAGATGACTTTAACATGCATAATGTTAAAAAAAAAAAAAAAGAGAGAGAGAGAGTGAGATTCTCCACCTTCCACTCAATTCCCCAATTTTGGGAGTTGAAGTCCACTCATCTTAAAAGTCGCCAGGGTGGAAAAGGAGACTCTCCCGAGGTCCCAAGTCAATCCTTTCAATATTCAACACGACCCCGAAGGCTCAAGGCTCACCCGTCAATGATATTTTCCGCCGGGTACATTTCATCACTGGATGTTGCTAAAATAACATCGGCTCCCTCGGAGCTGAGACAATAATCTGTAAACTTCATCCCTGCTCAAGCCTCGCAAACGGCCGTCTCAAAGAGTCCCTACTTTTCCTTCCCACCGGCCGAGCGCCTCAGTTGCCTAGCAGCACCTAGCCTGAAAGTCCGGAAGTGGCGTCCTAAAATCTGGGTTAGATAATTTGCTTGCTGAGGGCATCGTATGAAACCAAACAGCGAAAGAGAGTCACAATAATTGGAGAGTGGAAGGGACGGCAGGGATCATTTAATCCAGGGATTTGTGGACTTCAACTCCCAGAATTCCCTCGCCAACCGTGCTGGCTGGAGAATTCTGGGAGTTGAAGTCCGCAAAGTATTAAAATTGGCAAGCGTGGACACCTCTGCTGGTGACTAGTCCAACTCTCTGCAATGTGCAGGAAACCAATCCATGAGCAGTGGTTCTTTCAATTATATTGTGCGTGAATCCAAAGAGCTAGGTAAATTAGGAAAGGGTATGACGATGTGGTGCCCTTCAAAGCGTTGGACGTGAACTTTCAACGGCCTTCTTCAACCCCGTGGGTTGGGAAATTAAGGAGTTCAAATTCACACACACACACACACATTTCTCTCGTTCTCGGGAAACGGCTCTACATTTTTATCTCTAGGGTCTCCGCCCAGGCACGCATGCGCATTGCTTTTTTCAGTCGCTCATCTCGCGGTCTAAAGTAGGGGCAAGTGATTCTTCTTTTACATTTTTGTATTTTCTGCGGTGGTTTCACAGAAACCTCCCTCGTTGGGAGGCGACGGATTGGGGGGTGGTGGTGGATTGGATTTCCCAACTGCGCACCTTTCAGAGTGGATTTGGGGAGGCTGCTGCTTGTTTCCAATGTTCCCCTGCTGAAATCGAAACAAAACCTGGCTATATTGCATGTAAGTTGAAAGGATTTGCTAATTAACTAAAGTACTGGCAGCAAATGAAGCTTGATTGCTCTTTTGCAGTCATACGAATACCCTGTAAGCATCTTCAGAAGTTTCTTCGGACAACAATATTCTTTTTTTTTAAAGCTTCATGGCTTGGATTAATCTTGTTTTATAGACTAGTTGTTTGTCAACCTTGGCAACTTTTAAGATGTATGGACTTCAACTCCCAGAGTTCCACAGACAGCAAGCAAGCAAGCAGGCTGGCTGTGGAATTCTGGGAATTGAAGTCCACACATCTTAAAGTTGCTGGATTGAGAAATACTGCTTTAGATTATGATTTTAAAATGAGGACAGCTGTTAATGGGTTTTTTTCTCTCCTGCAAGGACATAAAGACATACAACCATCTCTATGCTTTTGGGAAGCTCCTTCAGCTTAGGTGTTTAATATTAAAATATTTATGTATAAAAATACTCTGCATAAGTGAAAAAAACCAAAAGTGGAATAACTGTTGGAAATTTTATTCCGCTTCTTTAATACTTTACTTTGCTCATTTTGACTTTTCCTTCCAGAAATCTGAAAGCAGAATGTCATGCTATCTTAGTGCCGAAAATGTTCCAGAAGGAGAACCTGTATATGTTCGAGAGAATGGTCAGCTCTTCATGATAAATCAAGCTTCAGGAAGAGGAATCAATTATACTCCAAATTCAAGGCCTTCAAGATTGTTCTCCAAAGAATTCTCTGTTGAGCTTTGTGTCAACAAGGAAAATGACAATGGAAGGACAGATCATTTTATCTTTACTTACACAAAGGAGGGAAGTCTTCGTTATTCTTCCAAGTCTCTTTTCAGCCTAGTCCTGAGCTATATTGCTGACAATATTAATCATGTTGATTCACTGAATGACTTTCCAGAACAGATAGCAGAAAAGCTTTTCTATGCTGCAGATGCTAGGCAGAAATTCATGGAATCAAAAACAGGGCTTTGTGCTTTGCAGACGTTCACTAATGCTTATGGATGCCTAGTGCTTCAGAAACTATGCTTGAGAAATGGGTAAGCACATACTGTTTGCTAATAGTAGTATGTTTGTACTCTAATGAAGCATATATATATAATTTTATATATATATATATATAAAGAAAATGTAAAATTGGAATGCTCTGTGAAAGTCAATGCAAATAGGATAGATTGAACTGCCTATCTCTATTTTTTGAACTGTTACATAACTGGAAACAGAAGTATTATCGCTTCATTTGCAGTTGAAGGATATTAATTAAATCTGAATTTAATCCTACTGGCTTTATATTTATAAGCTAATCTTATTAGTTTATCATTATAAGTTTTTAAATTTGTGCTGCTGTTGTGGCTGTTTTGTATGAGAAATAATGTTGTAAATGTATAAATAAGTTTACAAAAGATACAGGGTAACCTCCTTCAATTTAATTTACCCCACAAATGTGTTAAGACTTCATGCTCATTGAAAATTATAGAAATTGAAGTATTCCCCCCCCAAAAAAATACCCTATTTTCTATAGTATTACTGTAGATTTTAAATGTACAGGAATACAAACTTCTTAAACAGAGTCATCTGAAAATAAACTGTATTGACATCTAAAGAAAATGAATTAAGGCTTACTCCTTGCAGTTTTGCATCTAACTATTTTGATCCCAGCTGTACCTGCATCAAATTTGCCTTTTGTTGAGATGCTTTGTAAATTGTAAATGGGAAAAAATGCTTTTATTGTAGTTGTGCTTTAGACAATAAGCAAAATCCTTGCTTTAATAGAACATGCACAAACAAGGGAGTAAGATTACTTCTGAGATCCTGACTGTATTGTATAATTTTACTATCACATTTCTCCATGTGATAGTAAATCACATGGAGAAATGTGATTTCAATACTATATTGAAATGGAATTGAGCATAATTAGAAGTGGCTTAGGTTGGGCATTAACAAAATCTGTGGTTGCTTTTTCCAAAATATATGAGGCCCAAACTATTTTCCAACTACTTTCCAAACCAAACAAAATATTGTAAGAAAATAATCCTGTTTGTAAAGATGATTAGTAGTATTAAATTTTCAGCAACAGAAGACAGTGCCCAATACAATGCTAAGTTGTAGGAGCTTACATTTTTGTTTTTATTCTTTACAGTTCCCTAATTATCTCTGAAAAACTTGAAGAAATTAAATCTTTCCGAGGTCTGACGTATTTGGATTTGTCCTGTTGTAAACTTGGAGATGACCATGAGCTGCTAGAGCATGTCACCAATGAAAGTCTGTCCAGGTACAGTAATAATAATTGTGAGAGAAATTAGCATTCTCATTTGTTTGTTTATTGCTCAAAGAACTAGGGCAACTGAAATCAGTTCCAGTTTTAATTATAACAAGCCTGAATTTTTTTTTATTTTTATTTTTTATTTTTATTTATTTTGATATGCCGCCCTTCTCCGGAGACTCAGGGCAGCTTACAATGCATTAAGCAATAGCCTTCATACTTTTGTATATTTTATACAAAGTCAGCTTATTGCCCCCACAAACCGGGTCCTCATTTTACCCACCTTAGAAAGGATGGAAGGCTGAGTCGACCTTGAGCCTGGTGAGAATTGAACTCGCAGTAATTGCAGGCAGCTGGATGTTAAATGCTGCCTTAGTAGGAGGCATTAGCGTCCTACGCCACTCAGGCTTAGATAAATGCATTTATCTGTTACATATTTTACAAATGGAATAAATTATTACATATTTCACTTGTTGGAAATATTTTATTCGAATTGTTGATTTTTATGTGCTAGCTGAAAGTATCTGCTAAATGCCACTATTTATTTATTTGTTAGATTTATATCCCAATTTCCATGTAGGAATTTAGAGTAGCATGCATAGCCCTTCTTTCTCCTCTGTTTTTCATCAAAGTGACAACCCTGTGAAGTAGATTGGGCTGAGAGAGAGACAGAGCCACTGACCCAAAGAGTTTCTAAGGCTCATCTAGATTTGATTCTGGGTCTTTCTGGTGACATCCCACACCTTACCAATTACAGGTAGTCCTTGACTTACAACCATTCGTTTAATGACTGATGAAAGTTACAAAGGCACAGAAACAAGTGACTTTTGACTGTTTTTCACACTTAATGGCCATTGCAGCATCCCCACAGTTACATAATCTAAATTCGGACTCTTACCAACTGGTTCATATTTTATGACAGTTGCAGTGTCCCAAAGTCAGGCGATCCCCTTTTGCAACCTTATGAAAAACAAAGTCAATGTGGAGTCCAGATTCACTGAACAACCGTGTTACTAGCTTAACAACTGCAGTGGTTCACTTTGCAAGTGTGGTAAGAAAAATAAAATGGAGCAAAACTCACTTAACCACTTCGTGCTTAGCAACATAAATTTTGGGCTCATTTATGGTCGTAAGTCGAGGACAATGACTGTATATTACCTTGGCACTCTCTATGCAGCTAATCATAAATAAGTGATTTCTTCCTTCACAAGAATGCACCTCATGACAGGAAAAATGTAGAAGGAAGAACCAAAGGTGCTTTTTCCAAAAAGCAACTAGACTTTCTTGATTTTTTTCCCCTTTGATAAAGTTTTGCTTCTCATTCAAGAAGCTTCTTTAGTTCTAACTGGTTAAGAATTTCCATAGACACTTCCTTCCACAGAAGGAAGTACTTAAATTGTTCTGGTTTTTCTCCTTAATCTAATCTTGTGTATATAGAGTTGAAATATATATATATATATATATAGATCCCAGTCATCTCCCAGCCCTCAAATTTTAAGAGGGTATACAGAAGGTTCACATGCTATATCATGCTGAGCTGTAATGAAACCTGTTTATGATTTGGGATATTGTATCAATTCAGCAATTACAGGTTACTCCACATACCAGATTAACCAGAACATGATTTAGTGCAGTATCTAAATCCGGTCTATAGTTCAAACAACAGCTGTTTCTGTTCACCAACTTCTTCACTAATAGTCCATGCAGAAATGTTGCCTGGACATGCACATATAGCACATGGACTGAGGATAGCTTTTGAAGCAGTCTTAAAAAGTTATGACTGCTTAAATATTTCAAAGAAAGGTACTTTTTTCATGCGAATGTCATACTTGTACTATAATCCATGTGATCCATTTCTTTTAAATGCTTTTTACAGCCTGTTTAATTAAATCATAAGTCTAGATTAATAGTGTCATAACTATTTAATTTACAATTCTTTGAAGTTTGTTCAGATTTGCAATTGCAGACATATACAACAAATTGGGTTAGATTAATAAATTAACTAGGTTTATTATTTATATACACTTACTTTAAGGTACTAAAATGTGTTTTCTGAATCTTAATGTTCTTTTTCTGAACATTATTAATGTATGATAATTGTGATTACATAAAGAGTTCAAGCTGGGCTTAAAATGAGAGAGGAAACCTGAAACAATAATTGATACTTTTCAGGAAATACTCTTTAATTATTCTTTAACAATTAACATTACTCCAGATATTTCTGTAAAAACTGCAATTTTTACGTTTTACTTCAGTCTAACTCACCTTCTCCTGAAAGATAACTGCTTATCAGATATTGGGCTTCGCAAAATGACAGCACGAGTTCGAGTGATGAAAAGAGGCCTTGAAAATCTCTCAGTATTGGATTTGTCTTGTAAGTATAAATTAAGATTAGAGAGTAGATATAGGCAGTCCTCAACTTACAACCATTCATTTAGTGACCATTTGAAGTTACACGGACACTGGACAAAGTGAGGTGTGACCATTTTTTACACTTAGGACCATTGCAGCATCCCCATGGTCATGTGAGCAAAATTCAGAAGCTTGGCAACTGGCAAGTATGACCAGTTTCAGTTTCCCTGGGTCACGTGATCATTTTTTACGATCTTCTAACAAGCAAAGTCAGTAGGGAAGCCAAATTCACTTAACCCTGTTATTAACTTAAGAACTGCAGTGATTCACTTTACAACTGTGGCAGGAAAGCATATAAAATAGTGCAAAACTCAGCAACTGTCTGGTTTAACAACAGAAAATTTGGGCTCAATTGTCGTAAGTCAAGGACTGCCTGTACCTTCCTTTCGTTAACTGAACTTTGAGAGACAAGTTGCTATTTTTTGCTACAAAGTCAGCAATGTTATCCTTCATGTTTGAGACAAATAGCATCAAGACTCCATGGATTATTCGAATACTTTGGAATGTTACTCAAGAGACTTCAAGTTCTCTGGGTGTGTTTTTATTTAAATGTCAATTTTCTTTAGTTGTTCCAGTTCCCTTCCAGATAAACTTTGAGGCAGTGCTGTTTGGAAATAGTTGGTTTCAAAATAGCAATCACTGATGGTTTTCAATATTTATATGAACTGTTGAGGGACATTATCAGATAATCTGATGTTGGATATTATCTGCATGTGGTGACTTAAAAATCTATGTCCTTGTATCACCTCAAGTAATTAGCATAGCTCATTTGAACCCAGGTAATGGATTGGTTAAGGCTAATCTGGTGTTGGACCATAATATACTATCTAACTCTGGAGAAAATGTAATACATTGAAACTGAATGTAGACAAGAGAGATCTCCCTCTACTGAACAAAATGACACTCTTCCAAAAGAAGCAGAAACATAGTGTGAGGTGCGTCTGGATCTATCTTTTTTTTCTGACCCTTTTCCTCTGCTGTAAATTGCTGAAAGACTTCAGTGGTCAAGTTAAATAAATGATTTGTTACTAATTTAATTCAATTCAGTTTAATGTATTAAGCTTATATGTTCCTAACTCCCTTGAGCAGTGGTTCCCAGTTTGAATACAGCAAACAAGATGGTACAATATCCTGGTTTGCTGGAGTTCTATGGAACAGGAGTTTTTGATAGCAAATATCTAAACTTTATTCATATGCAGTTAATCCTTGACTTACAACCGTTCGTTTAGTGATCATTCAAAGTTATAACAGCACTGAAAAAAGTGACTTGTGACCGTTTTTCACACTTATTGCTGTAGCATCCCCATGCTCACGTGATCAAAATTCAGATGCTGGACAACTGTCTTATATTTATGACGGTCGCAGTGTCTCAGGGTCATATGATCACCTTTTGTAACCTGACAAGCAGAGTCAATAGGAAAGCCAGATTCACTTAACAACTGTGTTACTAACATAACCACTACAGTATTCACTTAACAACTGTGGCAAGAAAGGACAAAAAAAAAGGAGCAAAGTTCATTTAACAAATGTCTCCGTTAGCAACATAAATTTTGGGCTCAATTGTGGTCGTAATTCGAGGACTACTTGTAGTGGGAAAGAAAAAGTGCAAATGCCTGTCCTGAAATTTGATATTTCTCCATTTTTGTATCAGGCTTAGATGCCTGCTCTAATCCAACAGAACTCTGAGTGGTTTATATTCCTTTCCTACAATAACAATATTAAAACAATAAGACCGTATAACAAAATAATAATTTCAATAGCAAAACAATATTACATAGAGCTTAAAGCCACCCAGAACAATAACATACAGATCCTCTTCCAAGCCTTTCAAAAAAAAGTTAGATTTTATGGCTTTCGTAAAATATAACAAAATTAAGACTAATCTAACCACAAGAGGTAATATTTCAAAGAAGAGGGACTGCAGTCAAGAAGATATCATTTCATAAGCCTTGAACATGACAATGCCTGAAAGATGGGATCTAGAGAACACCTACCCTACTCAATTTTATTGCTCCTATGTGTGACAGTCCATGGTTTGTTATATTACATTTTCTTGTAATTCCTAAGACACCTCTTAATGTAACCGTACTTGCTAAAATATAGTCCTTTTTGGCAAGGAAATGAAGTTTTCTGAACCCCTTTCAGTTAAGTAACAATAATAGCTTAATTGGCGTATTGTTTAGCGTAGTGTCAAGTTAAGAAACATTTAAGTAACTTTATCTCTTGTATGCCCTTTAGCGTGTATAACAGGTTTAATTTTAACGCGATATTGTTTTTTTATATAGCTAATCCAAGAATCACAAATAAAGGAGTTAGGTATCTGCGTCCTTTCAAGAAGTTGAACTATTTGGATCTCTCTGGAACTGGCCTCAAGGTAAAAAGAAGCGTTTACTTTGTTTAACATCTAGATTTAGGCACATGAATATTTACACACACAGATACACCATACACTCTCACATATAAAAAGGTCAACATTTCTGTTTTGTCATAAGTCTTGTCATTGACTTTGTTGTTTTATAGAATGGGTGGATTCACATATTAAACCATGATTTGTTTTAAATGTTGCCAGGAAACATGCTGATAAGATCTGGCAGAATCAGTGTGCTTTGAGTCCTTTCTCTAAAGCAGTGTCTTTGATTGGGGCCTCCTCATGGCACATGCCCTCTGGAATGATATTCTCTGGAGACCCATGTATCACCCACCCTGATTATACTCCATGAGGTGGTGAAATCCTTGTTTCTAGGTCTTGGGACAGAGTAGCGTGAGAGCCCCGGTAGGATTTTGCTTGCTCTGACTTTGTTTTGTTTTACTGAGTTCCTCCAGATATATATCGTTTGTTTGCACCCAGAATCATCTGGAGCTAGGCATTCTTTCAATCAGTAAAAATAAATAAATGAGGTCAGTGTGGCCACCTCATTGCACTAAGCTATAAAGCATTGTTTACAAACAGAAAGGCTGAATTTAAACATTTTGCAAAACCTAGACATCACTGTATGACACGAACATAGCCAATCTATTTTGGTTTCTCTTTATTGCTAGGGCACAAAAGAAGTCATTGATCAAATCCAGACGCTCATAGACCTAGTCCATTCAAAGATCCCTTTGAAAGAATTTGATCATAGCAGCTGCAAAACAGAAGGATGGGCAGAGCAGGTACTTCCTAAATGACAAATATCCATTTTTAATATATAATAAGATGAGTTTGTGAGTCGGAATGTTTTAAAATGTCAGGCTTCAATAACAAAGAACTATTTTCTTTAATTCTTAAATATTTTACTCATAAAGTATAACTGCAAGAAGATATGATGAAATGCAAACAAAATGTAACATTGCTTATATAATCAAAAAATATACAAAATAGTAATTAAATGAGTAACACTTGAAGAAACATACATAATATATTAATGTAGAACTAGCTCAGTCCTTTGACATGTTATTAAATCTAGCTATGTAGCTCATGTTATTCCATCTTCTCAGTTTTTATACAATATATTATTTCAGCATGACAGTTATATAATAGATTCTTAATATTCTGTTATTTAGATGCATTAAAGTAATACATATAGATAACTGGACATTCTATCAGTATTAATTATAGTTTTGTATAGTAATATTATAAGTATTATGTTATATATTATTTCTAAACCCCCCTTCTCCCTCAAAGGGCTCTACAATATATTATATTGTATTGTAGAGAAGGGAGGTTTAGCAATATAAATAAATAATGATTATTTAACAAGAAATGTATTTTTAAATGAAGTATTAATTTTGGTTTAAGACTGTAAAAATGATAGTTATTACAGAGATTATAATACATATTCTTTCAATTCAGTTAACTATCACTTCGTTTTTGACATTAATGACACTTGTTCATCCTAACTATCATAATTTATACACAATTAAGTAATATTATATTTTGCATTTAGGTTGATTGTCATACAAAAATCAGTACGCTCACTATTGAAATTAACTTTTTCAGGTTATCTTGCAGTGGAAACATGCAGTCCTAGAAGTAGTTAACACCAAAGAAAGTATAAAATCTAGATTAGCAGCACAACATTTCTGTAAGTAATTGAATAAAGACAGTCGTTTCCAAGCTAAAACTACTTTTAAAAAACCGAGGTATATTTTTGCTCACTGAAGCTGTGAGCTCAAGGGGTTGTACAGACACAGATGGTAACAGTTAACTTGAAATGGATTTTTTAAAAACTGCTCTCTCCTTATGAAATAAGATTCCTCCTTTCCTCAGGCTTCATTTAAAATGACTGGAAGAATTAAAGCAGTAATCCTTTGAACATTTGGAAGCCTTCAAAATGCTTTATCTATATAAGTTAATGTTCTTTTCTTGATGCTGTTAGCCAAAACATAACAACATAAAAATGCAGTTGTGGCCACTTCATGAGAGGGTTATTGTTTTTGTTGTTTGCAGATGGAAAAAGACCCAAAGCAGAAGGATCTCCAGAATCACTGTTAGGGGAAAAGCAAAGAGAAAATTATGAGAACTTGCAGTTCTACAAAGAAAGAACAGAGACATCAGATAATCCTTTACCACAAAGAGACATGGAAATGATTGAAAAATTCCCAAAGAGAAGGAGAATTGCAGGGGAGCAGAAAAAACTTCCCCTTCAATCAGAACTCTTTAGCTTTTCACAGACAGAATGGGACCTGCTAAACTCTTATTGAATAAAGTGAACATTTTAAACTAACTGGCTGATGTTCAGCTTTGTGTCTCTTGGAAAATAAATGGTGCATTCTATTTTTGCAGTTGATGGACTGGAAAGAAATCAACTTGAAACCACTGTAAAGAAAATGAAACACTTGCTATACTTCTATACATACAATAAATGAGCCGGGTGAACATAAGGTGGATTCACTGAGAAACTGCTGGAAATGATACTAGCTATGATTCATTTTTGCCCCTGGTGTTGATTTTTGTTGCGTGTCTTAATTCATGCAAGTCATTCTTGCGTGATGTAACCTCTTTGTATGTTGTATCTGAAGAAACAGGGCAAGACTTAACCATAAGAAATCAAATATAATACAGTAAACAAAAGGGCTGAAAAGTGTTATGTTTATGTCAATTCTGATGTTCAAAAATATACATTTGTACTTTTTGAAAAGAAAAGTAATACAAGACTGATTGTGCAGTTTCGGGTTTCAAAATTTGGAGCTCGCCAACTAAGTTTGACCTTTCCACATTATAAACTGTCCAAGCACATCCAAATACATGAAGGGGTGGCTTTATTCTCTTCACTAAATGAGGCATGCAAACCCACACACTTGCAGTATAGAGATAGGTTCCCTGCCAAAGTTTAGCAAGTTTGGCTTACAGCTGAATAAAAGCAACAGCCAGAACTATCAGGTGGAGCCTTGAGGGTCAAAGCTTACAGTAGCATGATAGTTAAGTGAATCTGGCTTCCCCATTGACTTTGCTTGTCAGAAGTTTGCAAAAGCTGATCACATGATCCCAGGCAACTGTCATAAATATGAACCAGTTTCCAAGCATCTGAATTTTGATCATGTGACCATGGGAATGCTACAACGGTCATAAGTGTGAAAAAGTGAATGAGTCACTTTTTTCAGTACTGTTGTAACTTTGAACGGTCACTAAATGAACTTGTAAGTTGAGGACTACCTATATTAAAGTAAGTTGCTCTGAAAAGAATCTCAAATATTTAGGGATGTGGGAGGGGGCATTCATAAAAATGGCAGCCTTTTCTTTGCATATAATTATGTGGTTTTTTTCCCTTTTTTTTCTAGCTAGTATGTCTCCTGGCCTGCCATCTAAATATCAGACGTGGCTCTTCTGTATATTTATAAACTCATAAACAACTGAAGCTGATATAAGGTGAAAGTTCATAACCTCTGATTTACAAATAAGAAAGTGCTTTATTGGTACATGGGCATCTGTGCAAGATTTGAAGATTATAAAGACTGAATTTAAGCAATTTGCTGATCCGGAAACAGCAGTGTCAGGCTCTGTGACAAACTGAATGAAATCCTCTTGTCTGTCATGGATGAATGGCTTCACTGTGAGAACTAGGTGAATGCAGAGCAAAACAAACGGCCCCTGCCACCAAGCAGGGCAAATGCTGTGTAGAGCAACAACGCTGAATAAAACATTCTTTGTGAGGTCCCTTTAAAATTATCTGCAATTCCACAACAGCCTGGTTCTCAGTGGATTGTTTTTTAGTTTCTCCAAGGTTATGGTCCATCCTCTGCTTATCTTGTACAGAGGTATTCATCAGACCAGTCAAAGCAGTGTTGTATTCCATCTCGGCAAAAACTTCTAGGAATGCAGGTACAATAATCATAGAAGACCACCAGTGTACAACTCCAAGACTCAGATCCACAAGGAGGACAGTTGGCTTCTACAAGATTAAAAATACACACACATGAACTCAAATAATAAGATGTTTCTTTCCAAAAATCATACAGTGGTTGGTGGGTAATCCTACCTATGCCCCCACCCAGAACTCTGAAACATTGGCTGTGGGCAGTGCTTACTTAGACTTATGAGAATTCTAGCCATAACACATCTGAAAGGCTCAAGATTAGAGGAAATCGTATGCCGAAGAAAATTCTGAGTCTTTTAAATACATTGATGTCAATGCAATCTCTTGATCTTATTTACAAAGCTATTTCAGGAAAAAAATCATGTTGGTCAGCAAAAACATAGCAACCCACAGCATTTTACATTCCATTGTGCTTCCTAGTCAAACATGATCTGCCAGTTTTGGCAGAGTAATATATATGCCTTGAATATATTAGGCCTGTATGCAGTGGTGAAATCCAAATTTTTTTACTACCAGTTCTGTGGACGTGGCTTGGTGGGCGTGGCAGGGGAAGGATACTGCAAAATCTCCATTCCCACCCCACTCCTGGGGGAAGGATATTGCAAAATCTCTATTCCCACCCCACTCTGGGGCCAGACAGAGGTGGTATTTGCCGGTTCTCCGAACTGCTCAAAATTTCTGCAACCGGTTCTCCAGAACCTGTCGGAACCTGCTGGATTTCACCCCTGCCTGTATGCTGTGGCAGAACATGTACAGAAAAGAAAGCAATGCATAGACCATAATGGAACAGGTATTCTTAAAAACCCTTCGTGGGAGCTGATTAATTTATAATTACAGGTAGTCTTCAACTTACGACTGCAATTGAGTCCAGAATTTATCTTGCTAAGTGAGAAATTTGTTAAGTGAGTTTTGCCCCATTTTACGACTTCAATTTTTTTTTGCCACCTTCATTAAATGAATTTAACTGTTGTTAAATTAGTAACACATTAAGTGAATCTGGCTTCCGCATTGACTTTACTTGTCAGAAGGTCACAAAAGATGATCACATGACCCCAGGATATAGCAACAGTCATAATTATGAGCCAGTTATCAAGCATCCGATTTTAATTCAGGTGGGGATGCTGCGATGGCCATAAGTGTGAAAAATGATCATAAGTCACTTTTTTCAATGCCATTGTAACTTTGAACGGTCACTAAATGAACTGTTGTAAGTCGAGGACTACCTGTATAGCCATCCATAAACTCTGGCTTATGGCCTTGAAATGGAGATGAGCACTGCCCCTCCTAGAGTTGGCAATGATTAGCAGAGTAAAATTCACAGGGATTCATTTCCTTATGGAGCTAACTCTTTTCTCATCCACTGGCCAGAAAGTCAAAGGACTTGCATAAGGAAGAACAAACAGGAATAGACCAGCTAGAACCGCATAGTTCTATGCTGCGTTACACTTGATTCCTTTGCTCTGGACTTGAATAACCAGTCTTCTGTTTCCCCTCTGTTGTATATGTTTGTGTGTGTGTGTGTGTGTGTGTGTGTTAAGGGCAAGGTCAACTAATGCAAAACACTTTGCGAGACAACAAAAGCTTTAAAATATTCATTTATATTTAAAACCTTAATTTTAATTTTTCAGCAAATAAAGGACTCACGTGGCCCTATTTCATCAGAACAATCTCCACAATCATTAAATCCGTTACACCTTTTGTCTGCGTAGATCCAAAGCCTGCGATTCTTGCAATAAAATATCAAGTGTCCAGGAAGGCTTTTTGGCAGATCACCTACCAAAACAAACAAAGGTAAGCTAAAAAGAAGTTTCCTTACAATGTGACCTGTCAAAGAAAAAATATTATACTAACAAATAAATCCAGACCTGTCAAGTATCAATACTTCAGTACTGAAGAAAAATATAAGGGATATCCTGGCAATATTGATGGAACACTGATTTTGCTTAGAAATGCAAGCTATTGGGTGTTGAAATATTTATTGCAGAATACATTTTATGATTTAAAAAAACAACTTAATTATTTCAGTTGCTGTTTTTGGTTTAAAACTTTCAGATGCCAAATTTAAATATTTTTATATACTGATTGTTAATTCTAAAGTGTATCTAGAAAAAAAATCCAGTTTTGCTTAGTTAAACTGTTCCCTTGAATTCTGAACTGTTTTTCATCTATGAGCATGGCCTTTTAGAGAGTACTGTACAAAAGCAGAGATTCCTGATAAAATGAGCTTGCATGCCAAAATAGGATGCGTTGATCAAACTTGCGGTTTGTGCAATGGTTTATTAAATAATCCATAATTGCCTGTGTTTCACACAATATACTAAGCCAAAACCAAACAAATCATGGCCCATGGGCCAGATATGTCACACACTGGCCACGCCCACACCCAGTTTAGCGAAGGGGAAAGTCGTGATATAACATGTGATGCGGCCATGACAATGTGTGTTTGACACCTGTGCACTAGATGAATACCCATAGCATGTTCAACTCTAAAGAGAGCTTACTGTCAGAAGAATATTCTAGTCCAAATCTCAGCTGGAATTGTGTAAAAGTGACATGGGATTCAGCTCAGGGGTGGGTTCTAAAATGGTTCTGTGGGCGTGGCTTATTTTGTGGGTGTGGCTTGATGGTCATGTGACAGTGGGCGTGGCTTGATGGTCATGTGACTGGGTGGGTGTGGCCAACTCAATGTCACTCACGTCAAGGGGTGCCTCGCCTGGCCCCTCCCCTCCCAGCCATTCCTTGTCACACCCAGCCTCAACGTATCTATAGTTCTGTAAAAATGTTGTTCACCCTTTTTCAACTTTATTGTCTACATACTACATCCTTTCATGGACTACTGAAAGGAGGAAATGGCTCACATGCTTTGCCCAAGAGTGTGATAGGCAACAGGCTTTTAAGGGGCTCCCAGAAAGAAAGGGGGGCCCAATGTATTTTCCAAAGCACCAGACGGCAAAACACGAAGCAGTGGATGGAAACTGAACAAAGAGAGAAGCAACCTAAAACTAAGGAAAAACTTCCTGACAGTGTGAACCAATATACAGTAGGTGCAGAAATATTTCAGTCATAATTTCACATATAAAATAGCCATTCGTGTAATACAACCTGCATATTGTTCAAAACAGTATTATGGCTGATGTTTGACAGCAAGCCTAATAGTCAAAGATTACAAGAGTGCTTCTTTCTCTGTATGTATACAAAACATCACATACCAGGAATAGCATATTAAGATGGACTTTCAGCTGCTTGAAGAGGAAGAAATTTATTCAAGAACATAGAAGCAGCACTTGAGGTAGCTACAATTTGGGGTACAGAGACTGGAAATATTTATAGGAGAGATGATCCTTTGTGAGGTGTATGTGAATGTGCCCTTGTTTGGTAGATGTGAAGGCCTGATGGAAAAGTTCTTATCT